TAACAGGAAATCTGAACCTTTTCATACGACCAAATCAGCTGTGTTGAACAAAGGTGGATAACGAGTGTTATCTGATACGTTAGATAAATTGTGAAAATTCTATAAGGCTATTTTTTTGGATGATGCTTAACCAATGTACGTTACGTTGGGGACCGATGCACAAGCAAATGAAAGTAAAACGAACCATAGCTTATAGAGGTTGAGAGATTGGTGGCGTGGAATGTTTAACACGTTTGAAAAAATATCTCTGCTAGAAAAACAAGTGCAAATATGTTTATGAAACAACTGTATCCCCCTTAATGTTATATAATGCTGTTTAAGTACCCCCAATTTGATAATGTAGTATCCCTCCACAATAATTAGGCGGATTTTCTACGTACCAGTTACCTGTTGACCTTGACCTTTGAACCATAACCTTCAAAAGTCAATAAGATTTAGATCTTTGTATATAGTATCAATTGTATAAGTTCGGTCAAAATCCATCCAGCCAATCTTGAGAAATCCTGTCCACAAGATTGGAACGAACGGACAGGAGTAAACTAATATGCCCCATTATGCGATGCTTTGCACTGTGGGCATAATAAAGCACTGTAGCTAGCGTAGAAAGAAAAGTGTGAAAATGATTTGAAAAATTGGTAATTATAGAAATTCTACGACAACATCAAATTTGTTTTTTTATATGTGTCCAGAAACTCTATTAATGAAATTGCTTACTTATGTTGCAAAGACAACAGCAGCTTTGAACCTCTGCTACAATGGCTACTATAATTCTATATATTACAGTATGGAATGTCATGGCAACACAACACGGGCAGAAAAAACAACAACATGTTAATAAGATTGTTAGTACGATTTCCTGACAGCCCATATTAAAATCACGTAACTGTTTTCTCTCTTTTTTTTTCCAAAACTGAATTGTTTATAGGTTGTTTGACTTCGAATTATTTTTCCGAATGTAGTATTAAAGTACAGATTTCTAAAAAAAACAACAAACCAGTACCACTTTCTTTCATTCTCGGGATGAGCCTAAATTCTACTTATTTTTCAGAGTATCCGCATGATATCTGTAAAGTATAAAGAGGGTCGTGCAAGCTTACGACCAATCAACTTACACGTTTCCAGGTGTAAATATAGGCGATATCCATCAACTTATAGTTGTCTTGTAACACCTCATCGTAGTACATGATGGTAACCTGGAAATAAGTTGATAAAAAAGTCACTAAACTTAACAGAACGAATAATTATTACAGTATAAAACAAGCAGTAAACGACAAACCTGAACAGTTATATGTAATTATATGTTACTCTGAGACATCTTATAAATACAGAACAATACACTTTAAACAAGCAATAAACGACAAACCTGAACAGTTATATGTATATTACATGTTAGTCTGAGACATCTTATAAATACAGAACAATACACTTTAAACAAGCAATAAACGACAAACCTGAACAGTTATATGTAATTATATGTTACTCTGAGAAAATCTTATAAATACAGAACAATACACTTTAAACAAGCAATAAACGACAAACCTGAGCAGTTATATGTATATTACATGTTAGTCTGAGACATCTTATAAATACAGAACAATACACTTTAAACAAGCAATAAACGACAAACCTGAACAGTTATATGTATATTACATGTTAGTCTGAGACATCTTATAAATACAGAACAATACAATTTATTCCGATTCAATTATTCAGTTTTTAGGGATAATAATAAATCGTTATTTTGTATCTCTGGCATAAAGAAGGTCTAAAGACACATTTGTTTTATATTATTTATAATGTAATAACAATAACAACACCAACATAGAAACCAAAACGGACAGGGAAAGTACAATAACAATATAGTCATTCAGCACGACCTTTATGAACCGTAAAGGTGTCCTCAGATGAAATCCATTTCATGCATTATAGAACCAGAATAAAAGAACGCCATATTTATGCCCCCCCTCCCCCAGTGTCACAGCGGTATGTCTGCGGAGTTACAACGCTAGAATCCGGGTTTCGATACTCGTGGTGGGCAGAGCACAGATAGCCCATTGTGTAGCTTTGTGCTTAATTACAAACAAACAAACAATATCTATGAAAACACTCATCAGTCTATATTTACGTCTTACATCATGTTCACAATAATGCTATATCGTTTTGCCTCAGTATGCTCACGTGACCCTAGTCATCTTGTATTGCTTAGATATTGTGATGTCATGAAGTGCTTTATGGCGGATTCCTGTTAAAAACGAATTGAACACTCAAAACTGTGGCTTTAGCGTTGACAAAGTATGAGCAATTTCAGAGTTTTTGTTTCATTTTATTTTTTCCACAATAGCACCCTCTCCAGACAATAAAAAAAAACAAATTAAAAGTCCGCCATTTTGTGTCTCACACCATTATTGAGCTGAAATTGATGTGAAATAAAAAAAAAATCATTTTTTTGCTTTATGTATTGCAATGAGATACTGCTTGAATGCTAACTCAGATAATGACAGAAATTCATGCTAATACAATTGTTCGTATGATCTCCGGACAGCCCGTATTTTGAATTTTGACCAAACTGGATTACATACGAGAACGTCTTACTTCGAATTATTTTTCCCAAAGTATTGCTACCGAACGGATCGCGGAACGTACGGTGAAAAGAACGAATTCATTATTAGAAAAAGTCGGTGCTAATAAACATAACTTTTATTTATTAATCAGGAAGTGTTCTCAACTGTTAGTTCACAATTAAATAAACTCTCACAACTTTACTTTTATCTATAATTATTATACTCGTAATACACAGGGTTTCACGCGTATATTCCTGTATGACAAGTTTATATTTTTAGAGTTTTATACGTTATCTTGAAAGTTACTTTAGTTATCTAATAAGTATATAATAAAGGATTTTTTTTTCAGGAATGTAACCGATATAATGGCTGGAGACGGCTTGAATGGGTAATGAAGAAAAACTTTAACATACGTTTAACATAACAGCAAATGTACAACGTTTCGACAAGGTTTTGTCATCATCAGGTACCGGGTAACCGGTATAGATCCGTGTAAATACTCAGCTAGGATCCTAATATTGAAATTAAATAAAACAAATGATTTATCTCTAATAAATAAAAACAGTCCTCAATACGCATTTTATTTTGAAATGGGGCTGCTGTTCCCTCTAGACGACTATAGATAGCTATTTTTTTATCATTATCCCGATGATACAAACTCATGAATTGTCCCAGAATTCGCTATACGTTCACACGCACAGTTAAATTAGAACCTCCCTCCTATCCCTTCTATTGAGGCCTGCTCCGCCCTTCGCCGCGTCGGGGTACACCCTCGTGTTTAAACGGTCCAATCAAAGGTTCCATAAGAACGTGGCAAGCGGCGTCTGTCAACGTAATCTACCAATAGCAGTTGGTTACTATTAAGACCGAGTTGTATGACGTTCCTACACTACATATAATTAATCTCACGCATATATAAATAGATATGTATTTTTACTTCTTTGGATCCATCCAACTTGATGACGTTTCTCAGTAGGTTGTTTGAATTGTTAATAATTAAAAGGAACAATGAAAGCGCACATTAAAAGAAAACAAACAACACATTTTAACCAATTTCACGGTGTAAAAAGAAAATTATTTTATTGCAAATTTAAAACAATTAACTAGAAATAATTCACTTGTTTGTCGTGTTTCTAGTTTTGAAAGTTAACCAATAGCTTGCGAAATAGATGTGGTATTCGTTTCTATAGTTAGTAATAAAAAAAAACAACAACGAGATTTCTAGTTTCATCACATATCCTGTAGTTGGTAACTATTTTAAGATGCTAGTTCCAGAGTATTACGTATCAAAACTTTTATCCAAATGAAGCAGCTTACTGAAAAATGAGAGATATTTTAAACTTTGATAGTGGGTGTTATCTAACAACATATAGCTGTTTTTTGTTGTTTTTTTTATCTGTGATGTTGTAGCTAGTAGTTGTTATCATTGCGTATCTCCTTTATTAACGAAGTGATTATAAATCTGGATTGTAAAACTTATGTAGTGATAAAATGGGAATGGATGGGTAGATAATATACCCATGGTTTTAAGAATGTAACGAACAACGTCACAATAGAAATATTAACCTTGGCCATAAATGTGTGGTTGGTATTTTGGATCAGTGAGGTTAAGGATTGGAAAATTATTTCTATCATGGAAACAGGAAGTTCGAAGTTATTAAATTAGAACCAGTTGATTCATATAGCGGTACAGTTATTAGCACCGGTTGGTTTATATAATTTTATCAAGTTAGAACTGGTTAGTTCATATAATATAACTAATCTCATCCTATTCTTCTTTCTGGTTTATCCAACTAGTAGTTTAGTAAAAATCTGAGATAACTCAGAGAATCAAGTCACACTGAATCACATGCGAAACATAGAAGTTGTCAAAACAGCTGAATACATCTCGAAAACTACAGCACGGACGCCACTGCACTTTGTAACTGCGTCACAGAACACAGTAGTGCGACCGAGCGCGCCTCAAAACGTACGGTGAAAATAACGATGTCATTATTAGAAAAAAAATTATTATAATCAACAGTCCGAAACGAAAACAGCGAGTCAACAGAAAAACTGTGTGTTAAGAAGCACAATTTGAAAGCATAATAAGGTAGAAATCCCACGACGTGATTTTTATTAGATAAACATTAAATAGAAATACAATAATAGTGTTACTGGTATAAAACATCGTGCCACGAGTACTTGCAGAATGGAATATAAACTCGCCACTCTACAAACGTCTGGATTACTTTTGTAAATAATGGTTGAATAATACCGAACCTGCTCCCAGTGACACAGCGGCATGTCTGCGGACTTACAACGCTAGAAACCGGGTTTCGATACCCGTGGTGGGCAGATCACAGATAGCCCTTGTGTAGCTTTGTGCACAATTAAAAACAAACAAACAAACAAACTACCGAACCTGTCATATTATCTTTCGAGCATTACAACTAAATTATTTTTTTATTTAGTAGTTTTGATTCAATGAATTAAAAAAAAATTGTATATTTTGGTAAATGTGCTAAAATACTGAATTTCAAGACAATCACATAGGCTCTTTTAAAAGTGCCAAAAATGTCTTTCTTCTCTGACACGCGTATTTTCTGTACTAAAAGTACCTGTTTATGGTCTGTCGAATATATAAACTAGTGGCAAAAACGTAAACTATCAAAAACTCTCGTTCTCTGATAAATCGACAGCTTGGGTGTATTTACAATTTACTGACCACAGACAAATAACGTGTATGTATGAAGGTTTTTCTGTATGAAAAGAGTCTATGTAACATGCAACAACATACATCGATGAAGTAATATCATCCGGCTTGTTCAACGCAAGAAACCTTGCAACTAAACAGTATATATATCGATTTCTAAGACTAGAGCACACGTTCAGTACACAAACAACTCTCGTCACGTTGCACCCTTCCCGGCAAGGTCCACGAGCTGTCAGCCTAGGTCGTAGAACCTGACGTCACAACCTATCACGGGCCGGTGCCATTATACGTGTCGGGGTAGAGAGACTGGTTATCACGCTCCAACAGACACTACTTTCGCCGATTCTTTACGTAAGCTAGCAGTAGCAGTTAAATTTTCTTTATGCTATCCAATAGCATCAATCACCACGCGAACACACGTGTCAACGAAAAGAAGTAACTCGATGCTGCGTGGATGAGTTACAATTAAAACATTCGAAAAATACAAAATTTCCCGCCGATTTCTAAACTTCCTGGGCCTTGACAAAAGGTGGTAAGTTATACAAGAAAAAGATACAACGTTGTACAGTAGTTATTTTTCTCTCAGACATCTGAGATATTTTTATACTACACACACACAAATTAAAGTTGTTTCAGACAACGCACACACAAACACACAAAAGAAAATAAGTGGTATGAAGCTGGGTAGCCAGAAATAAAACCCCGACGAAACAAGTTATAAATACGTTATTGATGAAAAGGTAATCCTACTTTACCAAAAAAAAAGAAAAAAAAACGTATATATATTTTTGATCTTTTACTTTAATCACATCGAGTAGACTGCATTTTTGCCAAGGGTGACACTAACATAACTGATAACTTACTGCACGTTTATATGGAGAGACACACACAGCTGTTAACTACAGAAAGGAGAGTGTGATACACGCGATAACTTACC